GTGCCCTCATGAGTAGTTTTGAGAGTGTCCCAAACTTCCTTGGCCAGTTCATATTGATGTACTAGTCTGAAAATGTTTCTATCAATTCCATTGAACAAGGCATTTAAAGCTTTTGAATTTCCCAGAGCTAACTCATCTTCTTCTTTACTCCAATCTTCCTCAGGCTTCAGACTGATTGTCCCATCTATCTCAGTTATGGTGGGATGAATCCATCCTTTGTCAGCAGCTCTCCAAGCCTTTTTGTCCAGAGATTTTAGGAAGGCAATCATACGAGGTTTCCAGTAGTCATAATTAGTTCCATCCAGAATGGGTGGTCTATTTCCAAAAACTCCTTCTTTGTCCATAGTGCCAGAAAGTGATATCCCTAGATCTCACCCAGTAATACAGGCAGGGTGCCTGCTCTGATGCCAATTGAAATTCTGGCTGCAGATACTCAATGTCACGTTCAATGTTATGACACCGTATCTGACTTACTATATGACAGTAAATACAAAAGCAATAAAGAACACAGTCAATTGTTTACCCAGTTCAGTGTGCAACAACACCTACTCTGGGGGCTACCAAGCCAGGGAGGAAATCCACTATAAGAGATTTTAATTCAGGAATAAACCAACCAGTTTATCTCCTTCACTTAAGACCTACCCAATGCAATTCCAATCTAAGTACAACTTAAACCTGAGTTCCTACTCACTCCCCCTCAATCACAGCAGTGATACATAAACCAATTTGACTTAAGAATTGATGAAGACACTCTTCAAAAACAAACACTTGATTAAGCTTCACAGATTTTTAATCAAGCAACACAATCACTCGTGCTTCACAGCTTTGAGTGATGCGCACAACTAACTTGACTCTGCTTCACAGCTTTAGTCAAGGAACATTCAAACACTCTTGCTTCAAAGCTTTGAGTGCTACAAAACCCTTACAATTAGAAACCTATTCCAAGGCACTTATCACAATGATAATTGCTTGGAGTACAATAATCAAATCTATACAGATTACAAATGATCTTCTGATCAACAAAGAGAGATCCTTGAAAAACAGCAACTCTGTTGAATATATAGCAGCTGCAACTTCAGTTAGGGTTTCCAAAATCCTAGGGTTAATTCCGTTTGACCTAAAGACCAGGTCACAGGGCTTTATTAACCAGGTTAGGGTTGAGCTAGGTTACCCCTCAGAAAACGCAGGATTCTGTTCAGGAAAGACTGAGTTATTTCCTGAAAAAACTCAGACTTATCCATCCTGCATACCTGTTAGTTCAGGACAGGATGTCATAACATCTGTTATGACATCTGAGAAAACCTGTCTACTGATTTAGCAAAATGTGATCATTTTGCAAAATGCTCAGATACACACTTATAAACATCAGTATTTCAATTACAATATTTTTCTGCAAAGGTACCTAATGAGTCAGTACAAACTGAACTAGAATGTTATGACATCAGTCATGACATTCACACATACACTTGGGATTTACCAAAAATGCAAGCCAATACCTAAACACCTACAGAAAAGATGATCATGCTTGTAGATTGAGAAAGAGCCTATATGGGTTAAAGCAAGCTCCAAGGTAATGGTACAAGAAGTTTGAGTCTATTATGTGTGATCAAGGATACAAGAAGACTACTTCAGATCATTGCGTCTTTGTTAAAAAAAATTAACAATGACTTTATTATCCTATTGTTAATTATCGATGATATGCTTATTATAGGGAAAAATATTTCTAATATTAACAGGTTAAAGAAGCGGTTAAGAGAGTCATTTGCCATGAAAGACATAGGAGCAACTAAACAGACTCTTGGCATTAGAATTATGCGTGATAGAAAAGAGAAAAAAATTTGGATGTCACAAAAATATTATATCGAAAAAGTGTTGCAAAGATTCAAAATGGAAAACTCTAAGGCAGTAAGCACTCCTCTTGCTACTCATTTCAAATTGAGTTCTAGTCAAAGCCCTTCGAGTGAAGGTGAGGGTTTGATATGAAACATGTTCCTTATGTTTCTGTTGTGGATAGTTTGATGTATGCGATGGTATGTACATGACCAGATATAGCACATGTTGTTGGTACATTCAATAGATTTTTGTCAAATTCAGGTAGAGAGCATTTGAATGATGTAAAATGGATTTTAAGTTATCTTCGCGGTACTACTTCTATGATGCTTTGCTTTGGATGAGATAAGCCTACTTTAGTAGGATACTTTTACTCTGATATGGATGGATACGTTGATTATAGAAAGTCCACTTCGAGCTACATGATTAAATTTTCACGAGAGATGTGGCTTGGCAATCCAGATTGCAAAAGTGTCTAGCATTGTCTACTATAAAAGCTGAGTTTATTATTATTACCGAAATATGCAAAGAGTTACTATGATTGAAGAAATTTTTGTAGGAGCTTGGTTTTGTTCAAGACAAATATGTGTTATTTGTTAATAGTCAAAGCGTTATTCATCTTGATAAGAATCTGATTTTTTATAATAGGTCCAAACACATTTATGTGAGATATCATTGAATACGTGATATTTTAGATGCTAAGTTTTTGGAGTTAGCTAAGATTCATACAGATGATAATGGTTCTGATATGATGACTAGAGCATTACCAAGAGGAAACTTTGAAGCATGTTGTGATATCGCCGATTTGACGATTTTCTCCACATAGTTGTGATGGGGAGATTTGTTGGGCTTGGGTTCCCTTCTTATGTTGAGAAAGACTCAAATATTAATAACCTATTTATCTCACTTGTATAAGTAGAGAATGTCAATTTAGGGTTAAGAGAGATAGAGAAAAATAAGGATTCAAAAAGAGTGAAAATAGGAGAGAAACTTATTCCCATTTTTTCTGCAGCAGTCTCACTAAAACGGATCAAGCTGAAATTTGGTGGACTTGTTCGCAACACATATATCTAACTTTCGACCATTGAGATCCTCAAAACAAGGTCTGAATTGAGAGATATGGTCTTTGCATTGAAGCTGATTTGGAAAAAAAATCAGCTTTTTTATTCTTACTTCTAAGTTAGTTTGCATTGTGATTTGCGGTTGTTATTATTTTTTAATCACTTTAAGACTCTCTTGTAACCTCAATTGATTATAGTGGGATTATTTTCTTTGGTCTTGACGACTCGTATTTTTACTCTCATATTAAGAGGTTTTCCACGTTAAAAATATTGGTGTTCTTTTTGTGTCTTTATTATTCGGTTGTCGTCTTATATTTGTTGTTGATCCTCAAAGTTCCTACAAATTTGAGAAATATTATATCTACTGCATATTATTTTGTTATTTTATCTTAATTTCCCATCACGAATACATCTCAGAAATATTGACATATACATCTTCAAACCAAATTTTTGATAAAAATAATTCATGGTGCGTTCAGAGATACATCTCTAAGTATTTTTTAGAACATTTTTGAATTTTCAGAAGTGTCATTCAGTGGTAAAAGAAATTATCAAATAACATAAAAAAATACATCAACTACGTGAAATGTCTCAAAGTATCAAGTAGACCTACATATCCCACGCGAACTTTTGCTTGTAAATGATAAAAATAGAAGCTCTAATAGGTGGTTCCCTTTCAACATCATGAGAAATACAAATATGGACCCCATAAAAAGTTTCTGAGATAAACTCTTAATTGTTTTTAGTAAAATAGTACATTTGAGGTGACAAATAAGTATGTTAGTTCCGTTTAGATCGGTTCCGCAGAAGTCTGTAAAAAAATAGAGTAAAATGTGATAGAGTGAATATAATTGAGGGAGCGGACTAAAACTTTGATTCGCTCTGCAAAAAGTGAAAGCGAGACAAGACTGAATAGATTCACGAACACTGCATATTTTAAATCTAAAAATACAACAACAAAATTGTTAATGTTTGCACCTGCAAAAAAAATGGCCTGAAGCAGAACACACACATTAGAAGGTGCAAGCCTAAATTTCTAACCCGCGTCTTACACTACTGTATGAAAAAAAAAACATGCTCAATAGACTGGACCTATTTTGTCATCCAACACATTATTTGATATTCACTAAAAATGATGATGTTAGCTGTTGGACCTTTTTAGAGCTCATATCAAGTGCACATTTTTTTTATTAGGGATAATGTTTAAAAATAACACTATAAGCCATTTCTTCCTACTCAAGGCATACGTTTTTACTAGGTAAATTACATAGACAAGTCTCCTTACCTCATAGTCATGCAAGCAACTAAACCGTCTTTGACTTTGCTTTTGAACATCAACCAAATTGTCCATATATATTATTAAGAGGTTCCTTCTAAGTTTAGCATTCTTCCACTAAAATCGACCATTAAAGTAAACATGGAATAGTCACCATAGCAACATTAAGGCAAAAAATAATGATCATTTATCTAGAATATGCTCAATATTATAATATGCATCCAACACATGCATTCTTACATGCATATATATTTGTGTGTCTTTATTACATGTATTTATTATTTCTATTTCTAAATGTGTATCTAATGTGAGCCAATTTTTCCACAAGCCTGCAAAGATTCTTGCTTCTTTTACAACTCAGCATATGCCTTGGCATACGCAAGCAAATGGCTTCATTCCCTTTCTCGTTATTAGTATCTATGTGTTTGTGTTTGTATTAGTGTTTCATACTTTTAGTTGATGTATTAAACTTTTGTAGCATAAGTATTATGTTTCATTTCTATATAGACAATTATTTTCCTACTTGTGATGCTGACCTGTTGCAATTTTTGGTGATGAGGAAAATCGTACATGTCTATATCCTGTCTTTACTTGTAAAATGTGGTGAAAAACACCTCATTTCCTAGGTGGCCAATCAAAGTGTACCAGTCATTGTATTCCTGATGAAGAATATTAGTTATTATTATAATATAACAACCACCAAAAAGTGGTTATGTCTATTATGAGAAACTATAAAGCAAATCCTTTTATAGTTAGCATATCAAAGTCTGTCTCTACTACTCTGATATGGACTAGCAGAAAGGTTGTAACTAATCTAGAAAAATCAAGAGAACATGGCAGAGAGTGCGGTGAATTTTCTTTTGCAAAGGCTTGTGCCTGTATTTGAGAATAAGGTGTATTTGCTCACTGGGGTGATGAAGAACTCAAAGTTTGGGTTAAGCAGGTCAGAGAAGTTGCTCATGAAACTACAGATCTTCTTGATGAATTGGAACTTCTTGTCCAGGCACGTAATCACGCAAACAGATTCTCTTTTTCGCTACACGTCAGGAACATGAAAGCTCGTTATCGGATTGCTCATGAGTTGAAAAACATCAGCTCTCGCATGACAACTATTTTTTCAATTCATAAGAGACTCATCACAAAACTTGACACTTCTTCGGAAGCTTCAAACTCCATTTATACAGGTAAAACTAACTTCAAAAACTCTTTGGTACCGGTATCTACGTGTGTCAGTCAGTGTTATGTCTAGTGTATGTCTTTGTCGTAACGTTTCATAGTGAACAAATGGTATTGTAACCAGGAAAGTGTAGTTGTTTTTCTATAACAAAACTCTCACTTGTTAGATTAATACAAGTTCTGAAGCAGGTAAAACATGGCAGGATCAACGAGGAGATGCTCTTCTCCTGGACAACACTGATCTAGTGAGCATAGACAGGCCGAAGCAAAAGATGATTGGGTGGTTGACTAAAAGTTGTCCTGGACGCAAAGTAATTTCCGTTACTGGAATGGGAGGGATGGGGAAAACTACTTTAGTTAGTTAAGAAAGTATATGATGATCCAGAGGTGATAAACCACTTCAAAACCTGTGCTTGGGTTACTGTTTCCCAATCTCGTGGAACCGAGGAGCTGCTCAGAGACTTGGCCCAAAAACTTTTTTCTGAAATGAGACGAAAAGCTCCAGAAGGCTTGGAAACTATGAATAGTGACAAGTTGAAGATGATTATCAAAGAGCTATTGCAGAGAAGGAGGTACCTGGTTGTGTTTGATGATATGTGGCATATGCATGAATGGGAAGCTGTCAAATATGCACTTCCACAAAATAATTGTGGCAGCAGGATCATGATCACCACGCGCAAATCTGACTTGGCCTTAATTGTCAGCGTAGAATCCAAAGGTAAGGTGTATAACTTACAGCCCTTGAAAGAAGATGAAGCATGGGATCTATTTTGTAGAAAGACCTTCCAAGGTCACTCATGTCCCTCATATTTAATTGACATATGTAGTTGTATCTTAAGAAAATGCGAGGGTCTTCCCCTTGCAATTGTAGCAATCAGTGGTGTCCTTGCTACGAAAGACAAGCGCAGAATAGATGAATGGGACATGATTTGCCATAGTCTTGGAGCTGAAATTCAAGTCAGTGGCAAGCTTGATAATCTGAAAACAGTACTTTGCCTCAGTTTTAATGATTTGCCTTGCTATTTAAAGTACTGTTTCTTGTATTTAAGCATGTTTCCTAAGGACTATCTGATTCAGCGTATGAGGTTGGTTCGGTTATGGATAGCAGAAGGATTTATTGAATCCAAAGAAGGAAAAACAAGGGAAGATGTTGCAGAGGATTACCTCAAGGAGCTCCTAAACAGAAACTTATTGCGAGTAGCAGAAACAACTTCTGATGGAAGAGTCAAAACGTTGAGAATCCATGATCTTCTGAGGGAGATTATCATTCTCAAGTCCAAGGATCAAAACTTTGCAACAATAGTCAAAGAACAAAATGTGGCATCACTTGAAAAGATTCGGCGCCTTGCACTGCACGGCGCACTATCAAATCCAAATGGACAACAGCATAGATCTGTTTCTCAACTCCGTTCTCTCTTAATGTTTGGAGTGACTGAAAGTTTATCTCTTGGAAAACAGTTCCCAGGTGGATTCAAACTCCTCAATGTTTTAGACTATGAAGATTCACCCTTGAAGAAGTTTCCATTAGAAGTTATTGATTTATATCACTTAACATATCTGAGCTTGAAAAACACACAGGTGAAAATGCTTCCAAACTGTGTACTAGGAAAGTTGCAAAATCTAGAAACACTTGATCTTAAGAATACTCGTGTTACAGAATTGCCTGCCGATATAGTAAAGCTTAAAAAGCTTTGCCATCTTCTTGTATATCGGTCTAAAGTAGATGGTTATGCACAACTTCACTCCAAATATGGTTTTAAGGCCCCTCTTGAAATAGGAAATTTACAGTCACTACAAAAGCTTTGTTTTATAGAGGCAAACCAAGGTTGTGGCTTGATAATAAGACAGTTAAAGGAGCTAAGTCAATTAAGAAGGTTAGGCATCATGAGACTCAGAGAGGAAAATGGGAATGATTTCAGCTTCTGTATTGAAAAATTGACTAGTCTATGTGCGTTATCGATTACTTCTGAGGGTGAGAATAAAGTTATTGATTTGGCATCTCTTTCTACACCGCCTCCATATCTTCAAAGATTGTATTTGTCAGGGAAATTACAAGAGTTACCAAGTTGGATAACTTCTCTTCATAATCTAGCCAGGTTATATCTGAAATGGAGTTGTTTGAAACAAGATCCATTGGCGTATCTGGAGGATTTACCAAACCTTGCACATCTTGAACTGCTTCAAGTTTATGATGGTGGTGACAACAAGCTATTGCATTTCAAGTGTGGGAAGTTTAACAAGCTAAAGGTTCTAGGCCTTGACAAATTTGAAGGACTCAATAGGGTGATAGTAGGTAAAGGTGCAATGCCTTGCCTAGAAAAACTGAGCGTTGGACGTTGCGAGCCACTGAAGAAAGTTCCGTCGGGGATTGAAAACTTGAGCAAACTTAAAGTCCTAGAGTTTTTCGATATGCCAGATGAACTCATGGAGACAATATGCCAACACGGTCCAGGAAAAGATTACTGGAAAATATCACATATACCAGAAGTTTATTCTACCTATTGGAGAGATGGTGGCTGGGATGTTTATGCACTAGAAAGTTTCAGAGACTGTTCTCCCCGATCCGGCACAGTAGTGAGAAGCCTCGAAGGTTTAGCTTCAAACTATGGAATAACAAAAATGTGTATATTAACAAATTTAGCTGAGTTGTTTCATGTATATATGTCAGCACTCCAAATAAAGGTGTAGGTTCTAATTCACCTTTGTTTAAATTTGATCATCAGTATATAGAATTCTTCCAATATTTTATATCTAAATTCCATTCTTTCCCTATGCTTAAAATTGTTACATAAATAATGCATTATTTCAATATCAATTTTATTCATGATTCCTTTTGATTTTTACTCACTTACCGAGCTAAGCTATGGTTTCTCCTCACTTACCTTCACTGATTCCTAATATTATCAGCGATGGATAATCTATTACAAGATGCAAATATACGCATTATGCAGTTTAGCTTTATTGACATGTTAATCCTTTAGCTTATTTGAAGGTGTCGAATCATTTAATGAAAGATCATAATATTAATGAAGTTTGCTTGAATAAGCAAATTATTTTCTTGAATAGTTCTCTTTTCCATAAATTAGCTTATTGTATATATTATTGTTCATATCAAAATCATAAAGTTTAAAAATTAGACATTTAAAAGAAAGGGGCCATAGTATTTTGAAACACAGATATCATTTGCTTATACCGTGACTCATGAAAAAAGTCTTCCAGTTATACAAAAAATTGAATGGAGATATATCAATTATGCCAATCAAAATTTCCCCTCAACTAAAGTGCAACTTCCAAAACTAGTCCAAATTTGACGTGTAAGCAATCCTTCAAAAATGATGATGGATGAATTCGGCTCTCAAAAAGACTACCATGTCTTTGCTTCCTATCTGCATCTCACCATTTAGGCACCAGTTCCTACCATAGTAGAATGATCCGTGCATGCATATATGTACAAAAAATTGAACAAGTGGACTGAAAGGAGACTCCTTAGCAATTCATTACGTGAATACCCTTTTCTTGAATAGGCGAGCAAGGTCAACAATTTCATTTCGTCTTACTTGCTTCACCATGCTGTCTTCCTGCTGCTCACTTTCATTTCCTTTCCGTGACAATCTGGTTGCAACATCGACTGTTAAACTAGCCATATCCCTGGTGTCTGTTAAATCGCGCAAAACTGTGGCAGAATATGATGGACTTGATACTAGTCTATTAAGCAATATCAGTATATCCCGCATAAGAAATGTCCTGAAAACAAATTGTTCATAGTCAGTTAGGGAAATCAAAGATACTTGCTTAAATCACAATGCTTATATCACAAATTGTTCATATGACTGGCTTCAACATTTCTCCAGGAAACAAATAATTACAGGCAGGTTATTGATGAAAGGAATGTACAATTTTGACGATGGTATTTATTCAGACAAACAAGTTTTATTACCTCTCCCTAAAAATTTCTGGCAGTTCATTGTGGGATCCAGCTTCACAGTCCATCTCTGATACCAGTAATTGCAAAATCGACATAAGATAGTTTACACCTCTTGTAGAGAGCCTGTGAGCAATAAAGATTTCAAAACCAGATTGGCCCGATGATGCAAGGAACGCTAGCACGATAATAGCCTCTCTGCTTATTTTCAACTCCTGAAATTACAGTTGACGTAAATTTTTAAACAGACTGAAGTGACTTGGCTACATCCCTATCGTTAAAGAAAATAAATTTTCGAGTTTAAACTGCTTCCCCTCTCCTTCGCTCAACTCTCAAACAAAGCCTTAACGAACTTACCACTAAACCACCTCCATGGGAAGCAACACAATCGGCCAATCCTCGAAGGATGATGTTAAAATTTTGGAAATTTGACACAGATGCGTTGTCATCCACAGCGCTACTACTGTCCTCCTCTTTGCAACCACAGCAGAAAGTGGCCAACAGTTTTGGACCTTGAACATGTGAAAAAGAAATTCAAATTAAAAAAGAATACCAGAAAAAGTTAGGATTAGATGCATAGAATGAAAAGCATGATCCACATTTTTCTTAAATGTAGGATGTAAGGAAACAATCAAAAGGGGTCATATAAAATAATCTCATTCAAAGCCCAAATGATTGAGCTCTGCAGTTGATTATTTGTGTATGGTCAAAGTCTTGATTCAATAAACTTATATATGAATAGTTTTTCAATAAATTATTTCCACTCAAAGTCATTGCTACAAAGTCATGAGAATAGACATAAGTGAGATATGTAGTAAATATACCATATACAGAGAGAAGACAAGAACAATTGAAATGAAATGGGACAAGATTCAGATTATGTAGCATTCAAGGAACGAAAAAATTGATGAATTGGATATTGGAGAAAACTTACAATTTAATACTAGGTACAGAAGTCGCAAAGTTTTCTTTTTTACGTGTAGCCCAGCATCCTTCTTAAGCAATTCCGAAATAGTTTTAAAAACTGTGTTCTGGCTAAACCTGTATTCAAGCAAATTTATCATGTCATAACTATAATATCTATCTTCAGAACCAATTTTTCAATAGAAAAGACTAAGACAAACTTACTGCTCCCTCTCAAAGTAAGCAGTACTCCTTAGGAAAAGTAATAGCATAATGGACACTGCCTCCTCTCTCACATTTTCTTCTGTGATCCTCATGGAAATTTGGTGCAAAATGTCAAAAATACTAGACCAATTCACATGAGGTTTTAAGGCACTCTGATAGTTCCAGCACTCTTTTCTAAACATTTCTTCATTGAAGGGCTTTTGATCTTTCACACCGTCCAACCCACCAGAATCCAAAAGGTCATTCCCAACGCATATTCCATCAATGAAGACATTATCCCTGAGCAGAGTGCACTGGAAAGATCAAATCATAAGTTCATAAGATAATGAACAGCAGAAAGGAAAGAAAAGAAAAGTGACATCGCGTAAAATTAAGCCCATTCCACAGCAGACTTTACGAAGGAGGAAAAAGGTTCAGAACACGAAAAAATTTGACCAGATGGGGGAGTAGAAAATAATTGTTTTTTTCATATTTAACATACTTTGTCCCTGAATAATTTTGACCAGAGGGGGGAGACGAAAATAATTGTTTTTTCCATATTTAACATACTTTGTTTCAGAATGTTTCAGTAGTAAGCACATAAATAACTGCAGATGGTAGGTTATTTGACCGAATACAACATGCTCGTACATAATGATTATTAGTTTATTGTTCCCCGTGTTATCGCGCGCACAACACATGCACATGTATAAAAATTTAGGGTCATGCTAACATGTGCCCTTAGCCCTAAGGGCACATGTTAAGGAATACTATAATTATAAAAATTTAAATGTAATTAAATGTAATAAAATTATATTTAAAGTTTCAAAATATTAAATGCATGCATTACAAGAGAATATTTCTACAAATAGTTTATTAACTTGTGCCCTGGGGCACATGTTAGCATTTTCCAAAAATTTAATTTAACTATAGTGCATGATTTGTATTGTGTTTTTATAATAGTTATCAAACTCAGACAAGACATCGACCAGATAAGTCAACCAGTGGGCCAATGGTTACATTTTTTATGTATACATTTTTGAAATATAAATATCATGACTTCCGAACAAAGTATCAATTTAAATTGTAACCTTGAGAACAGACACAAAGGACGCAAATGCAATCAAATATAACGTGGTTAAAAAGTAAAAACAAAAGAGAGAATTACTAAATATAGTATACCTTCTTCCAAAATTCTTTTCCGATTCCAGTAGGAACTTCAAAAGAGTATACAGTATACGTAGAGAGCTATGGACAATAGCAACCTATATAAGATAGGAAAAATATGTTATCAAAGATTACAATATAGAAAACGAGGAAAATAACACTTGATAAAATTATTTTCATGGTCTGATTGGTTGCGAGAAGTAATTGAGAAGAGAGAAATACGTGAGAGAGAGTATAATAAGAGAGAAAGAGAAGAGAAATACTGTAGATTTTAGGTATTGATTGGTTTTAGAGAAAGAGAAAAGAAATAGGTAAGAGAGAAGTGTGATTAATTTCAAAAAGACAAAAATATCCTTATTTTAAAAATAAATTTAATTTGAGGTAAAAGGACAAAAAAGGAAAAAGTTGGAAAGTATGGCCTCTCACACCCTTTCTTGGCTAGTTTGAGAAGAAGAAAAAGCATGTGGGTCCCATGCTGTTTTCTTCTCTCTCCCCTATTTCTCACATGTGCCAAGCAGGAGAAATTCATCATTTCTCTTTTACTTCGCTCGCCTCACTCTCTCTCTCTCTCTCTCTTTGCTATTTCAACTCTTCCAATGACACCCTACATAACTTTCATGTGTAGGGATGTTTTCCAATAAAAATTTTCACCAGAGCAAAAGTTACATGACACAATAATCACCCCATATGCTCTAACTCAAATTATTATAAAAATGTAGAAATCATAATTCACGAGTATTCAGGTACTTAAACAATATCGTATGAAATAAGCACATATAGTATAAAGCCACTTTGAGACTGTCTCGAGCAAAGTAACAATACATCCCACCCTTGTTTGGTGAAAAGTGTTAACAGTTCCAGATAGTGAATAATACGACGGCAGATGGCTATTTTGAAATCTAGATACAACTTATATAATCTATATTATATACATAAAATCTCAAACTACATGATCTGAATGACAATGAGTGAAATATGAGAGTGTGACAGAGTGAGAGAGGCAAAGCTCAAACACTGCTATGATGTTATTTAATAGTATAGACTATAGTAGTAAAAATCATAAAATACCCCAATCAAAATGCCCTAACCATTTTAAGGTTTTAAAAATAAAATTGATCTCATTACGAGTTGTGGCTGCAACAACCGCTACTCTGATTGTTATAGTAGCTGCTACAACCACTAAAGTAAACTGCTCTGCTACTGCATGTCTTGTGGCTGCTTCACTAAATCGTTCTGCTACAGCACAATAGCGCACTATTGACAGCACGTTTAAACCCAATCTCACTTCAAAGAGAAATAGATGCCTAGGTGCACATGCATATATAGGATCACATTGCCTTAAAGTATGTTAGTTTATAAATTCAACTGAAGAGGAGAGAATGGTTGCTCATTGAGAACATGCAGAATCAACTAAAATAGCTAACTCGTCATTTTTCTACAAAGCTACTGTCTATCAAAAAATTAATTACCCACATATAACAGTAGTATAAGCTTGCAAGAAATTTGAAAAAATAACATTCATTCACAAATTTAGAATAAAAGTACTCACATTTTCCATACTACATAGATCAAGCAATGGTGCTATCAAAGTTTCCAACACATCTGTTCCATCAGCTACCTGCAACACATACCAATAACTGGATCATATGTAACCTCAACTAACATGAATGAATAATAGGAACCAGCTCAATAACAAGAGTACCAATATGTAAATGTAACCAATATATATATACATATATCATCTGCAGGCTACTGTTTCATGTCTAGAATATCTCCACTGGATAAAAAATATGCAACTTAAGATATGAATTCTAAAGTAAAATATACACCAAGGCATGGTTGAACTAATACCTTTGTCAATGCATGGTAGAGATGTGACACCTTTGTTGCTTCGGGAGTATGGAAACAACCATTGACGTAATGCGAAGATACTTTTGAAGAGCTTACATCTGTATGTAATTTTCGTGTTATTTCAGGCGAACTCGTGCTCATGTTACCAAAAAGAATATGAATATCTTTTTGACAACTGGCAAACAACTTCGATATAACATCACTTCCAAGCAATTTTTCACTTGGAGACCTCCATACTGCAAGCAACTTCTGGGAGAGGTCAAGATAAGAAAGATCATCACTTGGAGGATCTTGAACTTCTTGACGACTAACTATTTTTGTTTCAACCCCTTTAGGTTTACCAGTTGTCTCGACCCTTTTAGCTTCTGGGAAAGAAGAAAGAGCATCACTTCGATGATCTTGAGCTTCTTGATGACTAGCTATTGCCGTTTTTACCTCTTCAGCTTTAGCAGTTGTATCAACTAGCACACAACAAAAACATGTTGAGGGTGTCACTGTGACAGAAGCAAACAAAAAATTATTTTAAATAAGAGGGATTATTCACATGCCTTACCAGTTTGACCATTTGAAGATCCTTCATTATGAAATTTTGAAGAGGCTTTAGGATGGTCGGGAGCACGAATTTCGATATTCCTGCCACTATGATCCCTCATTAATAATAACTTTATGTCACATGTGGTGCAACATAACAACAACAAGAGAATTTTAAAATAAAAAAAAAAACATAAGAGAAGGAATATAAAATACAATCTTTGTCCTGTTATATTATACACTGATTAGTTATTCATCATGGCCAACCCAGTGTTAATGGAATAAAGACCCCCTTCTGCTCATGGGCTAAACTAAGTTAACTACTTTATTTCAGGTTTAACTTTTAGATTAGTAGAGACCATTTGTCAAGATCCAACTAGTAACAAGATTGTCTAGAATAAGATCTGGTTACTTTTACCACTGACCATTTATACCTGATATATAGTTAAACAAACAGACAGAATGGTACATATTACCAATGGTTATATTGAAAAGCTACAGATTGACCGTTTTGTTGTTCAGTTCATAAACTTGTAAATGAACACAAAGGCCTCTTTTCACATTAGCATTTTATTTTTAAGTGGTTCTGCCAATACATCCCGCCTTTCAAGACATGTAAGTGAGTATAATTCAAAGCTGTGAGACATAGGAAACCTTAACTATAAGATTTCTAGTCAGCTAACTCTTGGATGCATCAAAGGGAACAATAATGCCACAGAACATCTATAAATGAGGTATAAAACAGAAACAGAAAATAAAAATTGACTTACTTGTCTATGCTTTTCACACATTTAGTGCGGACATTATCTTTTTCGTTCTCTGAAGACACGGGTATGGAATGAACATCTTTCTTGTCTCTTTCTTTCTTTAACTTGGGGCACTCCTTATCCTGAAAGCATGCAAAGAAATTATGACAATCATGCCATTGCCAACATTTCACCGACTCTCCGAATCTTGTAAATAACCAATTGAAACCAAAGAATGTATAAGCATACGGTATTTGGAATCTGCTTCGAAGGACGTCCCGGCTCCCTCTGTTTTTGCTATGAACCAATTAAAACCAAGTTCAGTATATGAATGTTTGGGTTGACAGTGGAAAACATAAAAATTGACTACCAACACACACAAACTTAACAAGAAAAACCACTACAAATAGAAACATCTAGGTTACAAAATTGGAATATCTATAGTAAAAACACAAATTCGTAAAAACCCTTTTTGGGAATTACCTTAAATTGATCAATTTGGATGTCCATGTCATCGAAAAGTGGTTTAGGAAGGGAAGATTCGAAAACGGAAGTAGTGGGTTTTTGAGAAAGCTCTCGAGGAGGTGAGAAGTTAACAGAACGTTCGAAAGCTAGTGGTAATTGAACTTGTTGTTGTTGTTGTTGTTGTTGTTGTTGGGGTTGGTGATGATGGTTGGAGAATGAAGAAGGGTCTGTGGAGAGGGTTTTGGGTTTTGAAGGGATGGTGGATTCGACTCGGATTAATTCGTCGAGTATGTCGTCGTCCCAATCGTCGATTAAGATTTCGTTGCAGTTGTTCATTTTGTTCTTCGATAATTTTCCTTACACCACCACCACTCTGATGCTGCGTAGGCTCTTCTTTCTGTTTCTTATTTGAATTTCGTTTGAACCAAACTTTGTAAACTGTGACAGACAAAAACTCAGTGGTTTCTTCATATAATAAAGTTAAGACAATTTGTAAATGAAAAATAAAATATATAGTATAAAATCTTTTTGTTTTTTAAGCTTAATTTAGTCCTTTTATTTTATTTTTTATTTATTTTTATTCATCCAGCTTAAAAATCACTATTTTAATTTTTTTTAAGTTTTCTTTTATACTAGGAGATATCTGTATATTCCCACGAATACTGGTATAATACTCATATTTATTTTTAAAATATAATAAGATTAAAATGAATTATTTTTAAAAAGATAATAAATTGATTTCTATAATTTTTTCAATATATAAAAATATTTGAATCAATAATATTTAAGCTGGATCAAAATATATATATATATATATATATATATATATATATATATATATATATATATATATATATATATATATATATATATATATATATATATATATATATATATATATATATATATATATATATATATATATATATATATATATATATATATATATATATATATTATTTTAGTTTTAGAATTATTATCAAAAATATTTAAATCAATAATGAAATTGTTATATTATTATTTAATATTTTGATCAATAACTTCATGTTCCTGTTATTATTCAATATTTTATCAATAATTTTATGTTTTCGGTATTATTAAATATTTTGATGATAATTTTATGTTCTCGTTAATATTCAATATTTTGATCAGTAACTTAATGTTCTTGTTAATATTCAATATTTTGATTAGTAACTTCATGTTTCCGTTAATATTTAATATTTTGATCAATAATATTTTCGTTAATATTCAATATTTTGATCAGTAACTTCATGTTTCCGTTAATATTCAATATTTTGATCAGTAACTTATGTTTCCGTTAATATTCAATATTTTGATCAATAATTTAATATTTATGTTAATATTCAATATTTTGATCAGTAACTTCGTGTTCTTGTTAATATTCAATATTTTGATTAGTAATTCATGTTCCCATTAATATTCAATATTTGATCAATAACTTCATGTTCCCGTTAATATTCAATATTTTGATCAGTAATTTAATATTTCCGTTAATATTCAATATTTTGATCAGTAACTTCGTGTTCTCGTTAATATTCAATATTTTGATTAGTAATTCATGTTCCCATTAATATTCAATATTTGATCAGTAACTTCATGTTCTCGTTAATATTCAATATTTTGATTAATAAAATCATATTTTCATTAATATTCAATAGTTTAATCAATAATTTCATGTTCCCATTAATATTCAATATTTTGATCAATAATTTTAAATTCTCATTAATATTTAATATTTTGATCAATAACTTCATATTTCCATTAATATTCAAAATATTAATCATTAACTTCATATAAATGATCAATATAAATGACTTAAATGATAAAATGATACAAGATTTTGATGGAAAAAAAATAAAAAATAAAATATTTTAACAGAAATATGAAGTTAATAATCAATATTTTAGAGAGATGGCTACTCAACTATAGAAAATTTTATTTTATCAGATATTCTATTGTATTTACATAATTTAACCCAAAATAATGTATTCCGTTAAAAAACATGATAGCAACTACTTTGTTAAATAACTTTAAAAAGTAATATTACTTTTCCATTAAGTAGGTTTAAAGAGTACAATTAATATGAAAAATCACAAATAACTTTAAAGAGATAGTATTAATTAACCATACGTTCTTTCAAAATACTTGTGAAGGAACTTAAGTTGTTTCTTCCATATATTTGTGCTTGTCAAGGAAATTAATGTCAACAACAATGACAAAAATTGGGTTTCTCATGTCTTTTATGGTGAGTAGTTTGGACTTGAATCCTTCAAGATTTATTGGATAGTGTGCATCAAAGTTGTTGTTAGAATGGATTGAACTTCTTGCATGAAAGAGTTTCCTTAAAACTTGAGTCGGTCTGTTCCATTCGGATGCTTCCATTGTGCACACTCCTTTTTTGGTTCCACTGTGCACCCTCCTTTTTTGGTTAACCACTTTGATGTTATTAATCTACTCATGTTGGCTTGTAGTGCAAGCAATACATGAATTCACACTTTTAGTTAATAACACTTTTAATTATTTGTTTACATAAACTTTTAGTATTTAAACTTTTACGTATATTTTCCAAGAAGAGTGATGTACTCACCACTACACACTACGCCAAAAATAAGTTTTAGCAGCACATAAAAGAAAGCGCTTTTGGAAAAAAAAAACGTTGTTGTAGGTTTTAAAAAAAATCGCTTAAAAAAGCGCTTTCAAAGGGTGCCTTAAGAAAGCGCTTCCAAAGGTCACCCTTAGAAAGCGCTTTTTGGGAAGCGATGCTAAAGCTGGCCTTTCAGAGGGTACCTTAAGAAAGCGTTTTTCAAAAGCGCTGCTAAAGGTCAGCCTTAAAAAGCGCTTTTAAAAGCGCTGCTATAGGATATGCTACGAAAGCGCTTTTTGATGTAAAAGTGCTGTTATAGATGACCTTTAGAAAGCGCTTTTAAAAGCACTTTCGTAGGTAGTTTTATAATAAATATCAAAACACAATTTGTATCACTTTTCTATTCTCAGTCAGATTTTCTTCACGAAAAAACCCTAAATCAGAGCTTCTACGGCGGTCAACGGCGCTCCACTTCTCTGGCCAACTGCAATTCGTATCAGGTTTCATTTTTTTCCTCATCTCGTATGTGTTTGTCTGATTTTCGTGTGCTTTTGTTTGCTCCTTCGTAATTCAGGTATTTTTTGCAGGTGTCGTGGTTGATTGATGTACATGTAGTTGGTCCTTTGATGAATTATATCGCCTCCATCTAATAAGTGCTTTCATGATTTCTACCTCAAGATCAACGGCTTCCAGATTCATTCATGTTGCAGATCTCAATTTTGTATGTGTATATATCTGTATATGTGTGTACTTATGATCGTGAGGGGGTGGGGAGTTTAATGGATGTAGGTTGTTTCAGGATTACATATCTCGAATCTATGAGTATTTATGGCATTGTATTTTCAAAAATCAAGTCATGGAACCTGGAAAATCATCTACAACAACAAACACGTTAAAACCGAAACATACAATCTTGAAAAACAAAGAAACAAACCAATGTTTCTCCCGGCAGCAGAAGGCCACTCACTTGCCATTTTGTCTGCTTATCTATTGAACTGGTTGAGATCAGGCACAGTAAACAAATACATTAGCAACACCAATGTGTTTGAGCATTCAGGGAAGTTTTACTCAATTGCTGAAAGTCACATGCCATAAGAGATTGATATATTTTCCTTGAAAACTTTGAACAATTAGGAACTCAGTGAAGATTGGAATCGACCTTTTACAAGTCATCCAAAGGTTTTTGTTTAACTTTTACTATATTTGTAAATCAACACTTTTAACACTCTTTCATTGTTTGTTCAGTCACAAATTCTTTTTCATGTATCATCACAGAAAGCTCCAACTACAGAAGAGCTAGTTATATTTGGTTTTGCACCAACTAAACTTTATGTTGTGGTTGGAATTATTTCCGGTATGCTCTTGTTCTTTGTAAATGAAAAAAGTTGAAAAAATAAGTTTATTTAATGCTAATTATTTACTTTCAGCATTGAACAATAACTATGACTACGAGAGTTTGACATATTTCTTTTTCTCTCTTATTTTTTAGCTGATGGAAAGAAGTTGGTTCATAAAGTTGATATCAAACTAAACAGGTGTAGTCTTTGCCATGACATAGGTGTTACGCAAAGGTAGCGAGCATTATAGACTATTAAGCTTTCTTGCAAAACAAGAAATCAAAATTGCATTGTAGAATATGTTTTCATGTGATTTTGTTTTTGCAGGTATAATGTGATCATGGATTTTCCACTAACCATTGATCTTATCAAACTTCTAAGAGGATGACCGTGAGTACATATGAATTGGATGCATTCAATTTAAGATATTGAAAAGTGAAGCTACTAAGATTCACTTGTTTCAATGTAGATTGATGAAGTATGATAAGAATGAATACACAAGGATTGGTGTAATGCCTCGCTATGGTAATGTTGAGTCTATCAAATGGTTTGAAGCGGAACCTAATTGCACCTTTCATATTATCAATTCTTTTGAGGATGGAGATGAGGCAAGTTGTTATCATATAAGTGCTTATGTATAAGTTGTTTTTATAATAAAAGATAAAATAAAGTTAAGTTGATTACAAAGTTATAGAGCTTATATAAATAAGCTGAAAATTGAAGGAATGTCTAATTTTGTGGATCAACAGGTTGTAGTGAGGGGATGCAGATCGCTTGACTCTTTAGTTCCTAAGCCTGGCCCGTGTTCGAAATAATTTGACTGCTTATCTCGTTCTTATGAATGGAGGTTGAACATGCGGACCGGAGAGGTCAAGGAGAAAGTTCTTTGTGGTGACCAAGTTGTTTATGGATTTTCCAATGATCAATGAAAACTTTGTAGGTATTAAGCATAGATATGCTTACACACAAATAGTTGATCACATTGCAAGCTCTACCACTCAAGGTAACAATATAACTTATAAGATCATGTTTGGTTATGCTATTTCTTAACATGATTATGCTTTTGTGTTATTTAGACGTGCAAAAGTATAGAGGTTTAGCAAAGCTAAATTTTGAAGAAGCAAAGGTAAAAAAAAAATTGATATAACATACTCTTTAGTAACATTAATTATGAATGTGATAACTTAGATTATTTTGTGAAGCAGATAGAAAAAGATGAAGGTATAAAGATGGAATATCATATGTTTGAGAAGAATACATATTGCAATGGAGCAGCCTTTGTGGCTAAAGATAGAGGTGTTGAAGAAGATGATGGTTGGATCATTATTTTTGTTCACAATGAAGATACTAACAAATCTCAAGTAGGTTTAGTAGTTTGTATTCTTGCAAATTGC